GCTTGTTCCTGTAAGCGCGGCTTGTTCCTGTAAGCGCGGCTTGTTCCTGTAAGCGCGGCTTGTTCCTGTAAGCGTGGCTTGTTCCTGTAAGCCTGGCTTGTTCATGTAAGCCCGGCTTGTTCCTGTAAGCGCGGCTTGTTCCTGTAAGCGCGGCTTGTTCCTGTAAGCGCGGCTTGTTCCTGTAAGCCCGGCTTGTTCCTGTAAGCGCGGCTTGTTCCTGTAAGCGTGGCTTGTTCCTGTAAGCCTGGCTTGTTCATGTAAGCCCGGCTTGTTCCTGTAAGCGCGGCTTGTTCCTGTAAGCGCGGCTTGTTCCTGTAAGCGCGGCTTGTTCCTGTAAGCGCGGCTTGTTCCTGTAAGCGCGGCTTGTTCCTGTAACCCCGGCTGGCTCCTGTAAGCGCGGCTTGTTCCTGTAAGCCCGGCTTGTTCCTGTAAGGGTTTACGGGGTGTTTGTGAACAAGGAGGGTGCTAGCTCCTTCCTGGTCACCTGTGCTCGTTCTTGTAATGATCCTGAGGGATGTGGGATACAGCTATATATCAGATCTGATGTAACATGTCTTTTGCACGTGTTACATGGATTAGTCAGTGGAGCTAGACTGGTAGTTGTTTTAGCCATAGTCTAGCTAGACAGAGCGTCCCGCAACAAGATGCGCGGCTACATTGATGTATAAGGGAGAATGGTAGACGTGGTTAGGTTAGACAGATTAGAGGGTCATTGTGAAATGGGGGGTAGGACGCGGTCTGAGAGTGGGAGGTGACTGCTTATGTTGACTGCATAAAGAATCTGCAACAGCCGGTGTAGACCGAACGGTCGCAGGGCATGAAATTAGCCAATATGTGAACAGGCCCACCCAAAATTTTAAACAGGCCCGTAGACAAATTGATCAGTCCCTTACAAGTTTGAACAGGCCCTTAACTTTGTTCAATTTATTCCATTATTAATAAAACTATTAGCTTTGTGTTTATTAGGCATACTCTAGTATTTCAGTATTTCATTGCTATCAGTTGAGTTCTACTTGTTTGACAGGAATTGCTGGAACATGATTTTTTTCTTAGTAGTCACTAAGTAAAAACTAGCCAGGAAATTGGTAAATATCGTTGATGGCAAGATAGGCAAAATTTTAAATAGGCCAAGTGGACTGATTATATGGGTAGTTGAACCGGTGTAGACTGAACGGTCGTGTGTGGTCTGTGCTGCAGGTGAATCGGTCGTCGCTGTTGATAGAGTACGATCAGCCACCCAAGCCACAGACACCCTCCCTCAAGCCAACAGAGATTGAGGCAGGACCTCCCCCAGCTAAAAAACAAAAAGGTAATGTTTGTCAGTCGGTGCTTTAATGATATTGTCACTGCGTTTAGCGTAGATCAT